ATTATCAATTAGTAATTATTATTAATTAATATATTACATATTGATAATTATAATTTGATATTAATTATTAATTGATTGATTACTATTTATTTTTATTTACTAACTATCTACTAATTAATCGATTATAATTAACAAAATATATGATCGATATATTAATTATTTATTTAATAACCTATTATTACTTTTTTTATTGTTAATATGTTATATAATTAATTTTTGAATTTTAATCTTTAACTAAATAAATAATTACTATATCATTTATTATTTTATTAATAAAATTAAAAGCTTAATAGTAATAAATTAATATTTAATTAATAATTAAGTAATTACTATCTATTTATTAGTTATTAAGTATATCTATGTATTAATTATTAATTAATATATAATATAATTAGTAATTAATTATTAACTATTTAATATAACTTTGTTAATAAGTATAAGAAAATAAAAATGGAAAAGGAAAAATAACTTTCAATCATTTTCTACTTTCTTCATAAAAATCATTCTCATTGTTTTTATTTTTGTTTCCGTTTTCAAAACTTTTATTAAACAAATGTGATTTGTATACTATTTTCGTTTATGTGTCTCAAAAGATGCGCGGAAATGTTTTTGAAAATAATTCCAAACACACCCGATGTTTCTAGAAAACCAGATTTGAACTTTTTCATCATAGTTCCTAATTTACGTGCATTGGAAATAATTGTCAGAACTTTATTGTGATTTATTATTTCTGTAGTAGTTAAAGTTACGTGATTTCACATGTTTGAGGCTCTGTGGCTTTGCATAGGTTTGAACAATGTTGTGTATTTTCAATTAAGAGATAATTTTAATTTGGTAACTTGTGTTATAGTGAAATTATGATTTATTAAAATTTGCGCATGAGGCCATCATAGTGGGCCAGAGAACTCATCTAGTGCTAGGAGTGGGCGTAGCCAGAATGCTCTATCACAACACAACAGAGTGATAGGAGCTAATCATGGTAGCGATGAGGAAGATAGGATTGGGACATCCGAGTCTCAAGATTACACCACTAATACTATTGATGGGATGGAGAACCCAACCGGGCCATATACTTGGATATAGCACATGGATATTGGGAATTCATGGAGCTACTCAAGCACAAATGTCCCAAGCTTTTTCTTTGACATTGACTGGACTGGCGCATCAATAATTTCAACAACTCGAGCCAAGATTAATTAGTTTGCTCAATCAATTGAAGAATCAATTTGTAGAGCATTTTGTAAGACTCGCAAGAAGGACAAGCTCTACTTATACTTTTTAGTGTTAATCACACGGAAGGTCTTTGAGGTTTACCTATAATCATACTTTAACTCTTAATTTTTAAAACGTCTAAAACTTAACACTTATCTATTAGTTTGTTTCAGTTTTAGAACTTTTATCAATTGGATATGAAAAATAAGGCATAATATGAATGATGCTTAGTAAAGTCTTATTTTCCATCAGCATTATGTCCATATTCAGTATTCTTTCAGTAGAGTGTTTATTTTTCGTTAGCATCACATCCATTTCATTGTCATATTTTTAACTCCCAATGACCAAAAGAACTAAAACTGAAACAACTGATAGATCGTAATTAAGTTTGGGACGTTTAAAAGTTAAGGCTTAAAGTGAGATTGAGAATTAATAAAGCTTAGAGACCATTTATTATAAGATTAACCTATTTTAATGAAAAAATGAAAGGAATAAATTGACAAATTTAACAATCTATATTCAATATATTTTGTTTTTCAAAATTAATATCCCTTTTCCTTTTATGATATTAAAATAAATATCTAGATACACTAGGGTTCTCCTATCATTTCCATTTTTGTCAATTTAGACCCACACAAGTCATAGTTTACCAGTGATCAAGGTCCCGTTCACTTCACCAATTCGAGTTTAGAATTCGAGTTTTGCTATAGTAAAAAGTTCTCACAAACAATCACATCTAACTTTTTTGCTACAGTAAAAAGCTCTCACATAAAATCACATCTCAACTCGAATTACAAACTCGAATCAGCGAAGTGAACGGAAGACTTTCAAAATTCACAAAACCCCAAATACTTTTCCCCCCAATTTTTTTTTTTTTTTTTTTTTTTTTTTTTTTCTCCCTTCTGCTCAACTGACAACAATTCTTCTGAAATCTACCGCATTACCGATCTGACCCTAAGCTTTCCTGTTGTAAATGTTCAGGAGGTAGCCCCTGATTTGGTTGCCACATTACCAATATGTTTTGGGTTTGTCTACAGCAACTCTTTCCGCGTTTACAAAATCTGCTACGATGGTAAAAGGAATTAAATTTTAAGGCATGGCAAGCTGTACGTTTTTGGAAAACATGGGGGTTATTTCTTGTATCTATCAATCTCTAGATCTACATCTATCTATGTAATAAAAGGGTGAAATATTTTTAGGTGTGTCAGCTACAAATGGTGTTGAATCTCGTTTGGTTCACGGTGATGAAAAAGAAAAACTGTTCTGATACTCTTTTTTTATTTTTTTATTTTTTTAAAGAAAATAGAAAAATGCTCCAGAGGTCCCCTTTGGTTTTGCTTTCGAACTAAAGTGTTCTTCATGTTTTCTTATAAAGTTTTTTTTTTTTTTTTTAAAAGAAAAATGATTCCTAAATAGTGTTTGTTCATATGTAGTTTCGAAAATGAATCATATTATAGGAGTACAATTATTAAACTTGAAAACGGTTTTTTTTTTTTTTTTTTCTCTGTAAAGACTAGTAAAGAGGGGCACGTGCTTTGTTATTTTTAAATTATATGTTGTACATAAGTTGTAGGTTTTTTTTTTTTTTTTTTTTTTTTTTCATTGAACATAAGTTGTAGGTTGTACTATATATCCTGTTTATACATATAGGAGTACAATTAAAAAAAATTAAATGGGAAGTTCGAAAATAGGTAAATTAAGGCTCCTTTACTTCGCGATTTTAAACTGTGCAGATTTAAACTTTTATGTGAGTTTTTTTATGGTTTAAACTAATTTTTTATAGTGTAAAATCTAAACAAGAAATAATGTTTAAACTTTGGTTACATTATTAGAACTACGGATTTTTAAAAATATGCGAGAGAAAATAATTAGTGGGAACTTTTGAGTTTGGTTTTGAATAGTTTAAATGGGTTAGAACCTTCAAAACTTTAAGGGGGTAAAGTTGAGTTCAACTTTTAATTTTAAGTTAAACTCAACTTAAAATTAAAAAAATATATGAAAAAAAAAGTATATATATATATATAATAATAAAAAAATATATGAGCTATAGTTTGTTTTCAAAGTTAATTTTGAAATTTGTAACAAAAAACACTGTAACTGAATCAATTGAATTGGGTTCAAATCTCTCTACCAAACATGTTATAAATTTGTAGTTTTTTATTCTTGTGACGTTTGGTGTTTTTACTTGCATACATGTTTTTATTCATTCTCTATTTTATACCGTGAAAAAAAAAAAGAATAGAGAAAAAAAGACTCTGGAGGAAAAGTTTTACAGTAGAAAAAAATATCAGGGCTTTTTTAAACAGGAAATATATTGTAATTATCCCATTATTTTTTAATTCATCCAACTTTGAAAAACAAAATTTTGCACAAATATACAAATACAATATATATATATATTCATTAGATTTCTTTTTTTGAGGAGGTCACTAATTAATATTTCTCATTCACTTATTTGATGTAACAATGAGCACCTAGTACTAAAATGAATTGCGAACATTTTTTTCCTCTTTTCTTTCTCTTTCTGAAAAACATTATAAAAGAGAAACTCTCACTGCCCTTTTAAATTTGTTCACTTTATTTTTTATACCTTTTACCTCTAATTTTTCAGTGCCTTTGTAAATACAATGCTACTAAAAAAGAAAAAGAAAAAGAAAAATCTACGGGCACTCCAAAAATTATGTATAAACTTCTTCTCTTTATTCAAAAGATGAAGAGTAAATTTATACGAACTATTTACAATTGTTTATACATATACATACATTTTTTTTGTAATTTTTCACAGAATTTAAAACTTTGTTCAAATAATTAATAATTGATAATTAATATTCACATTATTTCAACTAAATACTACAAGTTTAATTTAGGGCTGTTCATGGGTTGGGTTGGTGCAGGGTAGGATTTTTTTCCCCGCCCCAAAGGGTGCGGGTTGCACATATTTTGCCCCAACAATGTTAGAAAAATTTCACAACCCAACGATGTTCGGGTTGGGTTGGGGCGGTGCGGGGTGGGTTGGGTGGTCGGTTTCAACATTTAAAAAATCAAAGACTTAAAGTTCAATATAATATTCAAACTTCATCATTAAATAGAAATAGCAACCATGTTTATCAGTCCATCTAACATCAAACATGAAGCAAAATAGTCCATCCAACATCAAATACAAAGCAAACATAAATTAGTCTACACTTATAAATTAGTCTTAACATAAAACAAATAGCTTAAGCAAAGCAAACATAGAGGTTTAAATCTTAATTCAAATCCATCCAAAGCAAGCATTGCAACATCAACCATCTTTATCAATCCACACTCATAGGCTCCTCAATGGTTGTAGTAGGACATGAAGTTGAGTTATCTACAAGAGAAATGAAAATAACTTAAGTAATAATTTAGATAGTTTAGAGTTCATATAATAAAATAGATTAAGATACATACAAATTATTGTCTTACCTAGATTTTCATAAGTCTCCAAGTCATCCAAATAGTCTCTTACTTGCATAGAATCATGTGTAGACTTCAACCAATTTTGAGTACAAACAAGAGCCTCTACCATCTTAGGATTCAAAGAACTCCTAAATGGATCTAGAATGCGACCACCAGTACTAAAAGCTGACTCTGAAGCAACTGTGGAGACTTGGACAGCAAGTACGTCACGGGCAATTTGAGACAAAACCTTAAACTTCTTACTATTATCTTTCCACCATTCTAAAATATCAAAATTAGGGGTTAAAGGGTTCACATTCTCATCAGCTAGATACCTATCCAGGTCATTTTTCTCCATATAACCCCCCTCATTGCTTCAAGAATTGACTTAACAACTCATTGACCGCTTGAACAGGTCGTTCTTTGGGAGTATTTGCTGCCATTTCTCTATTTTTTTCATTATCAACCCCTTTACCATAAAAGGACATCAAACTAGACAATGTGTCATCCACTTTTTTGCATAACTTAGAGGCTGTGGTAGCATCATAAACCATGCTAAAATAGTACCGAAGATAGTCTCTTTTATATCTAGGGTCAAGTACAACAGCAATAAACAATATATAGTTAATATTTTCCCCATTGCCCCAATATTTTTCAAACTTCCTTCTCATCCCGAAAGCCATGGTCGACAACAAGCAATCACGACTTTCACACAGCTCACTCAACTGTCTTTGAATGGAACAAATCTCATGGAAAAAAGTGTTGGAAGTGACATGTTGTGATGCACTAAATTTCAAAGTGACTTCATAAAAAGTCTTAAGAAATTGAACAAAAACCTTAGCATTTGCCCAATCTTCCTCCATTGGTGGTCCCACTTTTCTCTTCCCACCATCTTCTTCCAAAAAGTATCCTAAGAACTTTTCATCCTCCTCTTCATATCTATCAAAAGCCTTTTGGAACTTAATAGCAACATCTAACATCATGTATGTTGAGTTCCACCTAGTTGGGACATCTAAAACCAACGAACCTTTATATTTAACTTTCTCTTGCTTCACACAATCTTTGAACTTTTGTAACCTTGTAGGAGAAGATTTGACATACTTAACAGCATTTTGAATTGCTGTTATTGAGCTATGCATCTCCTTTAGTCCTTCATTTACAATGAGGTTAACAATGTGAGCAACACAATGCTGATGGAGAAATTCACCGTCCAAAACAGCGCCCTTCCACCCATTCACCCTCCGTTTGAAATAACTCAAGGCTGAATCATTGGCAGCAGCATTATCTACTGTCACTGTGAACACCTTTTCAAGCCCCCATCCATGCATACATTGCTCAATCAACCTCCCAATGGTTTCCCCTTTTCCATTTGGCATGGTACAAAAGTTGATAATTCTCTTTTGAAGCTTCCAATCAGAATCAATGTAGTGGGCAGTTAGACACATATAGTGTATGTTTTGCAAAGAAGTCCAACCATCAATTGTAAAGGACACCCTCTTACAATCCTTGCATAAAGAAACTTTTAATTAAGCCTTTTCCTCACTAAACAATTGCAAAACATCTCTAGCAACTGTTATTCTTGAGGAAGGAATAAATTTGGGCTGCATCACTTGGCAAAAATGTTTAAACCCATCCCCTTCTACACTCCTAAACGGCAGCTCATCCATGATCACCATCTTAGCTAAAGCTTTCCTACAAGCTTCTTTACTATACCCAATTGCCAACATACCACTCCCACTTTCACTACTCGCACCGAAACTTAACAATTTCTGCTTCTTATCTTCAACTCTAAAGGGATTCTTTTTGCATTTTCTTAAATGAACCAACATGCTACTTGTCCCGTGCGTTCTAGAACTACAAGCATAGTCCTTCTCACAATAATTACACCCCCCTCTTTCATCACCTGGATTCCTCCCTTTCTTAATAGTAAAATGATCCCAAACCTCAGATTTCCTAACGGGCTTTTTCTTACCAGATGTCCCCTCATTCTCATATTCTAAATCAATCACATCTTTTTTTGGTGATCTAGGGGCTAGTGTTTTGAAAACCACGTCAGAGACAGGCGATTCATTTGTTGTACGATTAGGGGATCGGGAAGATGATGCTACAGTTCCAGAGGTTAGGGTGTAGTTGTCATATGATGATAGGAACTTGTCCATCCTAAACAGAAAATATAAAGCAAGCCATTCACATAACTACCTCATGTGATTGAGGACTTTAATTAGCACCTAAACAGAAAATATAAAGCAAGCCATGCACATAACAGGAAAGTGCACTGTATTTTCTACTTTTAAGTTTAAGCTTTTAGAATTGCTTTGTAATTCCTAATTTCCTATGGATTAAGGACTTTATTGATTGAGGACTTTATTAATTCCTAATTTCCTGGTTATCAGATGATTGAGGACTTTATTAACTTTACATTTATTGTTATTTTCCATATTGTGTTTTTGTATATTGGTTCATAATTGATGATATTTTTCTTCCAGATACTTGCTAGAGTGAAACATACTTCTCACTTTGTCTTGAATTTACATCTTTTCAGGGTAGGCTCGGTCCAGGAAGGTTGCATCATTGCATGAGGTTGATAGGTGCTACTAAGCGTGACATGCAGATGATGGTTCAAAGGGCTCTTAGTAGAAGAGTCTTTGGGAAGTTAATTGCTGAGCAAGGTTCTTTCCTTTCAGATTTGGGGAAGGTATATCAATTTAGTACCATGTGATAGCACAAGAGGAATTTTATGTTCTTAGATTCATTAAGAATCCTTTGAAGGAAGCAAGAATCTTAAACTTTGTAATATTAACTAGAGACTGACTGGTTAATCTTAGTGGTAACTTGACTGCGCAACCTTTCAGATTTTTGTTACCTGTCATTCCAATGAAGTAATAATCTTGAAATTTTATTTAAATCGAATCTTCCAGTATGCCTAACCATTTAACTGTACTTTAATAACCTTCACAACACATGGTGATGGTATTTCTGCATTTCTTGTTTGTTTTTTAACGATAATTCTTATGTCTTCATTCATGCCTCACAAACAACCTAGTTCTATATGATTGGATTCAAATCATTAATTTTTCTGAATTCTTGTTTGTTTTTCCGAATCCAGAAGTACGTATGATTGGATTCAAATCATTTCTTTTTCTTAGTTGAGGAACATAACCTAGTTCTGGTTGTTACGCACAATGAAAGAAATAAGGATCGATTGGATTCAAATCATTCAAATCTAGAAGTACGTTGAGGAACTAACCTTTAGAGTCAAATTTCTGGAAGAAATAAGGATCGATTTCGTTGGGATCGCTTCTGCCAATCCGCCGGTATTCTGACCAACCAGCCACTCTTCAATTCGATCACGAACCGAGAAACATCAAAGGAGAAATCAAATTTCCAATCCAAACAAACACTAAAAAAAAAAAGAGATGAGAAAGAAGTGAGAGAGAGAGAGAGAGATTTCGTTACCTCCGACTCGGGGAAATTGTTGCTAACTATTCCAATTTCTGCTTTAGTGCTTGAGGGGAGACTGGAGTCGAGAGGGGCGGCGGAGAGTGGAGAGGGGCGAGAGTGGAGAGTGGAGACTGGAGAAGGGTTGTGGCTGCCCTAGGCTAAATCCTCCTAAATTCCTAATGCGGCTGGCTGGTAATGAGTTGAATGGGCCGAAGGCCTGAGTAATATTAATGGGCCAAACCCAAACTAAGCCTGGGGATGTAATGTGTGCGGGTTGAGTTGGGGGTTGCGGGTTGTTACGGGCCCAACTCACAATCCGCCCCAAACACTTTGAGCCAGAGGTATAATGGGCCGAAAATTTAAAAAAAAAATGCTGCGAGTTGCTTTTTTTGGGTTGGGTTGGGGCGGTACGGGGTGGGTTTGCGGGTTGTTCGGGTTTATGAACACCCCTAAGTTTAAAGGCATACACACAAAAATATAGCATGGTGTTTGAGGCTTTTTTTTTCTTTGGAAAAAATCTACCATGTCTTGTGTTGTTTTGTAAGAATTTATGTTAAAATCATATGAAAAAATATAGGGTTAAGTGTAGTCATGTGGTTGTGACTGCATTACTCTATTTTTTTCTATTTGGTTTTAACAGAAATTACAACAAAAATGGTTAAATAAAAACAATTCAAAGTTCAAGAGGTGATGTAAGAGTTTTAAAAATTTGAGAGACAAACTGAAGATGACTTAAAATTCATAAAATTCAGAACGACACTAGTGATAATAATCCTTTTTCATTTCTAGATCTGTACCCAAAATAAATCGTTCTAAAACCACTTAAAAACAGGCCCGCAGTATTCCAAAAGAATATATGTAAAGTGTTTTCCCAAACTGATCGACAACAGAAATAGTAGGTTTTGCTTTTCTCTTGCGGTTTTCATATCAATATATATCGATCTTGCAAGAGTAACCATCAATCTAATTCCCACAATCCAAGCTATGATTCCCAATAAACTCTCAAGGAAGCTAATAGGGGTAACTATTCACTTTGTGGGGCCTAATTCCTTGACCCTCTCAAGTCCGAGTCCATTGGTTATGAATGATTCAGCTTTCTACGATAGGATGTTTGCATCATATAAAAATATTTTTATTAAAAAAATAATACATATAAAAATATTTTCATTAAAAAAAATAATACATATGAAAATATATGAAAAAATATATGCTCTAGAAAGTCCCCCGAACTATTTAATATTAACCAAGATTTCTCAAAAGAGAAAAGGTGGGGAAAATATCCACCAAATGTGACTCGTATTTTTTAATTTTACAATATTAACAATCATACAAACTGTGAAATGGACATGTTTGGAATAGAAAGTGAGGATTGAGGAGGACATCCATGATATATCCTTTCCCACTTGTGGATAAAAATGTTGAAAGCATGAATATAAGGCTATACTTCTTCTGACAAATCTTTGAAAGTGAAGTTGGCTGCAATTGCGTGAAAAGAACGACCAATAATTAATATTTTGTTAATTTGCTTTGAGCTCGTAGAGAGGAGTCATAGTTATATCATGTTAATGTAACATATATATCGCTTAAAGTTGGATTTAGACAACTGCGTTTTATAAACATATAGAAGAATTTTATGGTGAGGTATGATAAAAATTAAATTCCATCAGTAGGGTTATGTTTTAAATTATCATGTTTGTGATTTTATGTGATTTTGGAAAACAAACACTATTGATATCAGAGCTCAACAAACTCAAATAAGTGACTCAATCCATACAATTTATGATTGATCACTCTAAAGAGAGTACTATCTTGCAAATCGTGTAAAGATTGAAATAAATCCGAATCCCAAATGATTTAAAATTAAAAACAAACATAAACTTATAAGAATTTTGGTCACCTCACTTAATAGATTGGTCTCTTAAGATGGAAACCTAAATTTTTATAAAGCCCAAATCATATAAAAAAAAAAAACATGAGTTTCTTCTTTTTCTTTTTAACTCTCAAACACTAATTAATGTCAATGTTCCCCAGTCATTAAGGGGTCGTTTAGAATAGTCAATTTATAGATGGACCCCAATCCTGAGTTATTGGTGGATTTATATTCATATATTATGTCTTTTGATCAAATATATGAGATTTATTCGCAAAACAATAACTCCCATATTTTAAAAACATGATATTACGAATAGTGGGGAACGACATAGATATGAAATCTATAACTTATGCAGTGTTATACGAAAACTTTGATGAAAGAGCACTCTCGCATATTCGATGTTAGATATCAAATTATATGAAAATCTCTACTCAAACTAGCAGCTTGTATAACATTGGAGTTATGATATATTTTTCTTTTACCTTGTCTCATATTGCAGTTTTGAATATTCTTGCAAATTAAGATGAAAAAAAAAATTAATAAAAAAATGGCCAGGGAAACGGCAGTAAATACTTCTCAAATAGTTGTTCTGATTTTAGGATTTAGTAGAACAAGGGACAAGGGCAAAATTGATAAATACGATTTGTCTATACCTTTTATTAAACGATAATGTGAGGGATATGTGGCTCGTTCTGTCAAGATTTAACAGCTTTAGTGACAGAAGGGTCAAAACGAGGCAAGTTGCATAGTTCGGGGGCTAAAAAGAAAATAAATTTTTTGCACATCCAAACAATTTTTTTTTGTTTTTGTTTTTTTTATCTGGAACATCCAAACAAATTCAACAAGCTTCTTCCAAGTACTACTGATGAAAGAAGTCTTAACACAGTGTCTAGCAGAAACTTTTATATTATTATGTCCCAAGTTGAGACTTGAGGAAAAACAAAAAAAAATCTGTCATGTTCTTATATTAGTTATATACATCCACGACCACACATTTGTGATATAATAATTTAAAGCATATTAATGTTTCATTTTCTTTTAATTGAGGAAAGATAGGTTTTTTTCTCTCTCTTTTTTTTTCTTGCTTATAGACAAAAGAAAAGATAGATCATTTATATATTAGGCGTATAGGGAAAGTCCTCTTCTCCAAAAGAGAAATGAAGTTGACACGAGAGGAGGATAGAAGGCCAAGCACCTCCATTATTTAGATTCCTCCCGGACTTTTCTTGGAAGGCGTGTGCTCCTCTCACGCCTATAGGGCCCCACAATAACCTTACCCTTGGACCCCACCCCACGTCAAGGCCTCACCCCTCGGGCCATTTCCTCAACTTGCCCATCTCCCGGTAGCTCTATAAAATCATCACCATATTGCACAGATTGGAGATATAGCAAAAGCAAAGCAACTAAAACAATACCTCCATAAGCTTTCTCTAAAGAATTATTTCAAGTTCCAAATCAACCATGTCGGACAAATGCAGCGGCTGCGACTGCACTGACGTCAGCCAGTGCACGTAAGTGTATCTAGTACAATCTCATCTCTCTCTCTCTCTCTCTCTCTCTCTATATATATATATATATATGTATGTGTGCGTGTGCGTGTGCATGTGTGTGTAAGTAGACGATTTCGTTCTGTCATGGCTTTATATGCTCTTGTTTCTACGTAGTTATATGGAGCTCGTATAGTATTGTTACGTGTATTGTTTCTATGTTATAATTTTGTGTCCGCGCGCGCGGTGGAGCCTCCATGTATATATATGTGTATATATGTGACACCTAGAGGCGCTGTAAAGACTTTAACAAACATGCATGCTAATCACGAGTTAAGTTTCTGAGTTGATTTTTTTTTCCCCTTCCGTGATGCTAATTTGGTTTTGGGGCCCTCAAGTTTTCAGTTTTTATGTGAAAGTTATCTTATAGGAGGAATTGTTAATTAAGACTTGGTTTCAATCCAATCCGGAAAGAATTCAGATTTAAACTGGTACATCTAGGCCTCGTACAGTTTACTGATTCGAGTTTTTAATTCGAATTGAGATGTGATTTTATGTGTGACTTTTTATAAGAGTTTAAAACTATAATAAAATTAGAATTTAAAACTCGAATCGGTGAAATGAAAGAGACCATAGTATACATATTGTCTCATAGATATAGTATATATATTATCTCGTAGATATAGTATATTGTTTCGTTGCATGGTCTAAAGTAACATTTCCCCTTCCGTGATGCTAATTTGGTTTTGGGGCCCTCAAGTTTTCAGTTTTTATGTGGAAGTTATCTTATAGGAGGAATTGTTAATTAAGACTTGGTTTCAATCCAATCCGGAAAGAATTCAGATTTAAACTGGTACATTTAGGCCTCGTACAGTTTACTGATTCAAGTTTTTAATTCGAATTGAGATGTGATTTTATGTGAGAGCTTTTAACTGTAGCAGAAAAAATTAAAAATGACTTTTTATAAGAGTTTAAAACTGTAATAAAATTAGAATTTGAAACTCGAATCGGTGAAATGAAAGAGGCTATAGTATACATATTGTCTCATAGATATAGTATATATATTATCTCGTAGATATAGTATATTGTTTCGTTGCATGGTCATTAAAGTAACATATATACTTTGTGATTGCAGCAAGAAGGGAAACACACTCGTCATTGAGACTGAGAAGATCAGGTACTTGTCCGTTTCAAGGACTTAAAAAGACTCGTATTTATTTCTCGCGTATATTTTGATCATGCCTTATAGATGTTAACGAAGGAGAACAAGAACAAATCTTGTAATTTCTGCGAAAGGTTGTGCAAAGGCTATAACTAATTAATTCAATTTGGTTAATCAAGTTTGACAATAAGACCAAAATACAGCTACAAATCCCATATGACAATATCGACCGACTACTTAAAACAAAGTGGACCGATTAAGTATCAGCAAACAAGTGTTTTTTCCGTGATGCTAATTTGGTTTTGGGGCCCTCAAGTTTTCAGTTTTTATGTGGAAGTTATCTTATAGGAGGAATTGTTAATTAAGACTTGGTTTCAATCCAATCCGGAAAGAATTCAGATTTAAACTGGTACATTTAGGCCTCGTACAGTTTACTGATTCAAGTTTTTAATTCGAATTGAGATGTGATTTTATGTGAGAGCTTTTAACTGTAGCAGAAAAAATTAAAAATGACTTTTTATAAGAGTTTAAAACTGTAATAAAATTAGAATTTGAAACTCGAATCGGTGAAATGAAAGAGGCTATAGTATACATATTGTCTCATAGATATAGTATATATATTATCTCGTAGATATAGTATATTGTTTCGTTGCATGGTCATTAAAGTAACATATATACTTTGTGATTGCAGCAAGAAGGGAAACACACTCGTCATTCAGACTGAGAAGATCAGGTACTTGTCCGTTTCAAGGACTTAAAAAGACTCGTATTTATTTCTCGCGTATATTTTGATCATGCCTTATAGATGTTAACGAAGGAGAACAAGAACAAATCTTGTAATTTCTGCGAAAGGTTGTGCAAAGGCTATAACTAATTAATTCAATTTGGTTAATCAAGTTTGACAATAAGACCAAAATACAGCCACAAATCCCATATGACAATATCGACCGACTACTTAAAACAAAGTGGACCGATTAAGTATCAGCAAACAAGTGTTTTTGCGTTCAATTTGACTAAAGACCTAAAATAATCTGGTACAGCTATGTGGACGCCGTTGCTGTGGATGCCCCGGCAGCTGAGCACGAAGGCACGTGCAAGTGCGGCTCTAGCTGCGCTTGTGTGAACTGCACATGTGGCCAGTAAGCACAACAACAATATATTACAGCAGTGATACGAACAGAAGTTTTATATAAATCATGTCACTGTTTGTGAGTCTTTGTAATAATTTGTAATACTGATCATGAAATAACTGTCTTCTGTGAACTTGTCTATTGTCATGGTACTTTGTGTCTGCTATAAGAGTCATGAGTGAAGATGTGTCTGTTGGTCGTTGTTGCGTTTCTTTAATTTCCTTGTTGTTTATGTAATTTAGGCCATCTCTGTGGCCTGGTATGCTTTTAATGGATCTTATTTTAGTATACTTGCTCTGCTCATATTCAATTAGTAATTGTTTCGTTTTTGCTTCTCAAATTTAAATTCATTCCTTTTTTTTTTTTTTTTTTCCTGAGAGAGAGAGATGAATTCATTCCTTTTACTATTCTCAAAAGCCCCCACTAGCAATGAAACACCCGATTCAACTTGCAATATTGTTGTGATTTGTATCGGTAATTATAGTAACGTAATATATATATTTTTTAAATGGTTTTTAAGTGAATCGCATATATTTGAAACGATTGAAGTAAACAGCATATTTATTGGTTAATGTTTATTTACACGACGTAAATGCAATATTTACCGGGACATACTCAGTGTAAACTTTGTATGCACGCTGGGTAAATAAATATATATACAAGTATCCTAATCTAAAAGATGTTATTTGCTTAAAAACCATTTCAACAATATACTATTTGCCCTCATCATCCTTGATGTTATGTGGGCAAAGAACCGAATTTTCTAGGCCTTTCTATGGCAGGGTCTGAGAACTTGTGGAAGATGACTTTATTACTGTTGGCATTTTACTATGAATGTGTGTTTTTTTTTTTACTATACATGTTATTTGGAAGTAATCAAACGAGCATGGAGATGACTTTGGCAAAGGTAATTTCAGACGCTGTAACACTAACAAAGTAAAAAAATTAGATGAGTAACAGAATAAGTCCTACTAATCTAAGAATGCCTTTAACAAGGACATAGTCTCTCAGTGGCAGTGCATCCTGCTCTCGCTGCTTCCGAAGTTTTTTTTTTTTTTTTTTTCCAAATTTTTTTTTTTTTTTTTTTTTTTTTTTTTTCCAGAGGCACAGGGTTTGTTTTGGTTTGCATTTATTGCCTACTCAAAAAAACAATAATTGAAACTGAAAATTCAGAAGTTACCATGGAAGTGAGTGTGATAGCTTATTGATCCAATGGCTGGAGATCAGTTTGGATAGAACGTAATTACGTCCTCACAGTAGCTCTATGTATATATCCCGACTCGGGTTGCAGTCGGGATTAAATAGGCGGTGGCCTCACCAAATTGGGTCCCACACAACTTCGTATTACATCCCGACTCACCCAACTCAGGAATCGGTATGTTCCATTTGCTAGACATGTGTAGATGTCTAATATTGGTAAAATCTATAATAGTTTTATCAACTAATTGCATTAATGGACAGTGCATAAAGAGATGAGGGTGGTGTGGTGTTTTAGTATATAGATTCTGAGATGAATTGTTCATATTGGCTGTGTAATTCTTTTCTCTTCTTCAGTCATCAGTAGATTCTCTGATTTGAAAGTGTCCTCTAAATAATAATTACGTACACTTGACCACCCCACCCCACCCCCCACTCCACAAAAAAAAATAAAAAGTGACCTGTTATAAAATCTCAATACCTTCCGTAAAAATTTTCATGAGTTCTAGAGGTCATGAGAATTGCATTAGAGTTGTGGGAACTCATCTCTTTTCAATTTTCATTGACACATCCGAAATGAAAGGAACCTGATATGTGGAATTGATAATCTAGCCAAGAGAAAGAGAAAAACTGAAACGTATTTTGAAGTATCAATGTATACTTATCGCTCACTTCATAGATGAAGTAAAAAAAAATTGCCAGTATAAGGAAAACAAACAAAATAAACACATGAATGTTATCTAACAGGCAAGAGAATCTCCCCTGCCTCGCATTATTCATAAATTTCGGGTATCATCCTGTATGTGCTATCCTGAAACAAACAAGTCTGTATTAAAAAATTATCAAAACCTTATCATGCAGTCCAACCATCTTTCGTACCACTAAACATTGAAGCCTTCAGAGCGGAGACACTTGCGATGCGCCTCTATCCATTTTGCACAAGCTTCTTCCCCGTGCTCGACAATGCATTCATCTCTCAATTTCTTAGTCTCAGGACAAGCACAGCAGATCTTCTTCTTCGGCTTTGTATCTGTGCCAGGCTTGTTGACGGTTGATCCATGGTTTTGCTGTGACCCAATCAAAGCTAAGGTCGATGAAGTATTCTCTGTCGGCAGCCCACCCATTTCGAAAGCCCTTGGAGAATAGAGATACAATCACTAAAGAAAAGACAGAATATTAGGGGGAAAGCTAACGAAAGTTTTAAGCCCTTAGAAGGACGGGCCAACTTGTTCAAGAAATTGCTCATAAAAAGAAGAATTGAAAATGATAACCAAAATTTCATACGGACAATGGAGACCCATTCTATTCTTTTAGTCTAGAGAAAATATATGCAAGAAGTTTGTTAGTAACTAATAAGGTTTAAGGATTCATCTTTACAGCAGAAGACGGTACTTTTTATTTTCCAAATTTACAGTTCCAAAAGGAAAAAATGCATAAATGTGATTCTTCTATATAAACCAATTAGCATCGAAAATTTCCTATTTCTGGCCATGAGGTCAACTTATCTATAAGAAACTCCAAGAACTTTTAATAATAGGCAATCACAAAGAGAAAGTAACCAACTTAGAAAAATCATGAGAGAGTTTAACCAAGTTCAAAATGCTCCGAGAGCTTCTTAGAATTTCAGGGGAAGCCCCTAATAAAACGTCTTCCAGGCTTCAGCAGACCAGAACTTGAACTCGCTATCATTTTACCTTTCTACTTCGTTTCAAAATCTTTGATGCCCATTTTAATTATTATTATTATTATTTTCATCACACGCTCAAAAGAAGTTAAAATGATAAACTTTTCTAAGAAGATTGAAAATGCTACGATTCTTTGGAAATTCTGCAATTCTACCGCCAGAAGCCCCATTTTAATTATTATTATTATTATTATTTTCATCACACGCTCAAAAGAAGTTAAAATGATAAACTTTTCTAAGAAGATTGGAAATGCTACGATTCTTTGGAAATTCTGCAATTCTACTGCCAGAAGGCCTTTACTTACAGAACAAAGAACAACCCAATATTCTGTGTGTGATTTTCATCACACGCTCAAAAGAAGTTAAAATGATAAACTTTTCTAAGAAGATTGGAAATGCTACGATTCTTTGGAAATTCTGCAATTCTACCGCCAGAAGGCCTTTGTGTGTGTGTGTGTGATATACAAGAATCCTTACTCTAGAATGTATTTATTCTTCAGCTAGAAAGATTCTTGATTATATTTCAAGGCTAAACTCCACTTGGGCTTAAGGCTAAACTCCACTTGGGCTTTCTATCAAACAGATGGTGGGTGTTCGGTTTGAAAAGTTAACAACATTCCACGGACACGACAAAATATACTTAACAAACACAATACGTAGAAGAAATAAGAGCAAAAACAAAAAAATGCAAACTACCCCATTAATCAACGAGGGAAAAAAAAAACTATTAACAAGGAGAATTTGGATTATTTAACCGGTATATGGAACAAAAATATTGACATAGAATTTAGTCTTCCATCACTTCCTCATATTATAAAAACATAATAAAATTGAAAAGAACTTCAAAAGCTCTAATCATTCAAACATGACAATCTCAAACACATAAGATTCTACTTTCACGTAAAAATCATGTAATTTTTGCTATTAAAACAAAAAGAAAGAATTGAAAGGGAAAACAATAAATCAGTATGAGTGACGGAAGCTCACAAGTCTTTTGTCTGTATAAACCAACCTCGTAGCTTCTCTATGATTTCAAGGAAAAACAAAAAAAACAAAAAAAAAAAACAAAAAAAAACACAAAGTTTCAAAAAAAAAAAATCTTCAGAATCTCACGAAGTGAAGGACGATAAATTCCAACAGCAAACTCATAAAGAAAAAAAATACATATTCTTTTAAAACGATTTCACAGGAAGAAAAAAGCAAATAGTGGATATGGGGAATAGAAAGCAGAATTAGCAAAGAGAATGGAGAAGTGTAAGTTACCAGTTCAAAGGACGCTGAGAAGCTACAGGAAGAGAAATTTGCAACACAGAGAACAACTTTCCCAAGGCTGAGAAGGAAACGCGTCGGAGACCTGTGTGTTAATGTTATGTTATTGGGCTAGCTTTTAACAGACCATTCATCATCGTTGGGCTCATTTTGAACCTTTTAAATGATCATTTTTCTCAAAATAAGCCAATATAAAAAGTTTAAGAAAGTATATAAGTTAATTTTTAGTTATAAAAATTAATAGGGTATAACTTGTCAAGTTATGGTTCATAATCAGATAAATTATGGATAAACTTATCAAGTTATGGTTCATAACCAGACAAGTTATGGACAATTATGGACAATAATTTGTCAAGTTATGGTTCATAACTAGACTAGTTATGGACGAAAACAGTAGTTTGGCCTATTTATTAACTTATGTAAACTATTGACCTATTAATTTTAATTCATCTCAAGTCTTGGCCTATTTCTCTCTTTCTCTAATATTTAGTACATGTCTTTAATTTAATAATATTATTAATCTGTACATTTTATAGTTATTGATATAATATAATTCTAAATATATTCCTTTTATATAGGTGGTTGTGAATTTGTATAACTGATTTTAAGAACTAATTAATTAGGGATAAAATGCCATTACAGTTATTTTACGTACTTATATATACATATAACAACTTATGAACATTCTCTTTTTCATTCATTGTAAAATAAATATATATGTACTTAACTCAAAATGGAAATGGCTTTTTAGACAAATAACAAAATATCAGTATCAAGTTGAAATATATCAAACTTTTCATAAAAATTTTAAGAATAACAAAAAATTAATATTTTCACGATAACTACCATGTAATTATACAATATGAAATGTGACACTATTACAATAATTATTTGTCTTTTTTGCTAATTTTATAATATTTCTGAAAAGTTTGCTAAATTTTAATTTTGCCTAGTAACTTTTAGAAACGAAAAGTCTTGGGGTCTCTTTTAGAAAATGGCCGAAATTTAAGCATAGTATTTTGAAGGCAATTCGTGTGGTGCACAGGCGGGCAATTAGTCAAAACACAACATTCACCTTTTTTGAGGATTTTTAATGTAATGTTATAATTAATGTGTTAATTATAAATTTAATATTTGAGTATAAAAAATATTTTTCAATACAATGATATTTGTTGTGTTTAATTTTTCATATACTATATTTTGTGATAAATTTCTCATTAAGTGTAGCATATAAAAAATTTGACATTTGATTATTATTAGTTAAAATGTTTAAGGCCCGTTTGGAAGAGCTTGTGCTTTTACTTATAATTAGTAGAAAAAGATAAGCATAAGTCAGAACTTGTTTATTAGTGTTTAGATAGTACATAAAAAAGAGTTTTTTTATTTTAAAAGAGTTTTTTAACATGTATGGTAAATAAGTCAAAGGTTCTTATTGTTACAAAAAGTATTACAAGGATATAAATGAAATTTTTAATGGTTAAAAAGGTAGTAAAAAAAGTTTTCATAAGCTCTTTTTCATAAGCATTTAGGAGATGGCTTGTCCTAAAAGAGTTTATAAAAATCAAAAGTACTTTTATGTTATTCATCCAAACAGCTTCAAAAGCAGCTTTTAGACTAAATAAGCTAAAAATTAGCATTTTTTAAGCCAATCTAAACAGACCCTTACTTTCTCGTATAATCATTGCAACTTTAACATTTTCTAATTATTTTAAGAATAAAATTTTATTTTTACAACTTTCAAAGCTTATGATTATGGAAAAATGTAGATTTAGTATTTCAAATAGCATTATGCATTAGAGCAAAAATGAACATAACATATTGTATCACACTTTTTGATGCTAAATATACCATTGGTATTAACATTTGCGTTGAAGATGATCTTATTAAACAAATGCCTTACGTGGGATGGTCTTGTGATAGTGGATCTTGGCATGGAGGGAGGGTTAACGAGATTCGACGACAATCTCGTGGGAAAAGGAGAATAGGCATGTGATTAGGGATGTGCAAACCAACCAAACTGCTTATTTTAAGTGAAAAGTAAACCTAAACACTTACAAATTAGTTTAGATATTGTCAAACCAAATCAAACTAATTAAGGGATCTAATCCAATCCAATCCAAACCAAACCGATTTTAATTAGTTTGGTTTGGTTTTCTAATTGGTTTGAACTAATATTTTATAATTTCTTTTCAAGTATCAACCGTAATTGGTACTAATATTTTGTATAATAGACATTCTATTATTTCTTAAATGTAAACATTAATAACTCAGGAACGAAATATCAAATTCAAACAGAAATAAAACATCCAAAGTTAAACACATTTTTTAAAAAATATAGTTAAATTATAGATATATAAAATATGTATAATTTTAGAAAAATATATACAGATCATGGAAATTGGTTTGGTTTTGTTTTTTTTAACGACCACAAACCAAATCAATTTAATTGATTTTTTAATAGTTTATGTCAGAGCAAACCAATTATTAATTGGTTTATTAGTTTTCTTCTGGTTTAATTTGATTAGTTTAAATGGTTTGTTGCCCACCCCTACATGTGACGACAAATCTTCCGGGGAGAGAGCTACTTTGCTGATGAGAGAAACATTTTTTTTTTCTCGTTCTCTTTCGTTTTCGTCTTCAGAATTTTTTGAGTTTTCAAGATTTATTATATTTAATATTTTAGTTCAACAATATTTTTAATAATATTTATAGATTGAGAAGTGTAATCTTGGTATTTTTTAAAAAAATTAATCAATTTAAAAGGTATTTTTTGACATATTTTACAAATATAGGGGTGTTTTAGGTATTTTTATGATAAGAGAATTATTGAGGGCAATTTTGATATTTACAAAATTTTGACAGTCAAACGTTGGATAAAACGTTATTTTAGATCATTTTCAAAAACACTAGTAATGAAAAGTATTTTGAATAAAGAGTGATATTTTGACTAAATACATAAGATATTTTGGATATTTTTCCTAAACAATATTGACAAATATTATAGTTTACTGCAATTCCAGCACAACATAAACCTTTGTAGCAAAACAAGTGAGAGAGAATTTTGTTGGTAGGGGAAAACAAAACTATGAGCAGAGAGACACATATAATTGTTAGATTTTCGACAAATTATGTTAATCGTTTACTAATTTAATATGATTTTGACCTAATCTAATTTCAATCTTATAGTTAAAAACTGTATTGATAAGCTAAAACTTCGACCAGAAAGAACATTACAAGCAAACTAATAAAATGTTAGATTTTTGACAAATTCTGTTAAATTGTTTACTAGTTTAATATCTTATTAATAAGCTAAAACTTCAACCAGAAAGAACATTTACAAACAAACTAACAAAATGTTAGATTTTTGAAAAATTCTGTTAAATTGTTAACTAATTTAATATGGTTTTAATTTGATCATTTGTATCTTATAGTTAAAAACTATATTGATAAGCTAAACCTTCAACTAGAAAGAACATTTACAAGCAAACTAACGAAATATTAGACTTTCCACAAATTCTGTCAAATTGATTACTAATTTAATATGATTTTGACTTGGAATCTTATAGTTAAAAACTGTATTGATAAGCTAAAACTTCTACCAGAAAGAACATTTACAAGCAAACTAGCAAAACGAATTGCCACCTTAATCAGCCAAAAGAAAGATAAATTTCACTAGAAAGATTTTGAAGCAGAAACAGATGTGTCATTTGATTGATAGTAGTGGAAATAACGTTACAATTCATTGGAGAGTGTGAGCCAAAGCTGAAGAAATTTACAAGATATTAAACAAAACAAAGAAGCCCATCTCAAGATCCTTTCTTTTTTCCTTCCCAAATCTTACAACAATTTTAAGACAAGATGAACTAACCAGGAATCTTCAATCTTTGATGTTGAACTTCTCTACTTTAATCAACTTATGTGCACAAACTAACTAAAATATATATATATATATGTGTGTGTGTGTGCGCTCCAATTAATCATACTTTTCTTGGATCACAAACTAACTAAAAAATATGTGTGTGCGCGCTCCAATTAATCATACTTTTCTCTCCAAGAATAGACAAGAAGGAAAACCCATGAAAAGGCCAATGCAATATCCCCAACAACTTGCCTAGGCCAATCGCTAGAAAGGTCTTCAAGTTTCCTCTCAAAGCAAGCTCTCCAAATGGCCATGGCGATGTGAAGCAAAACACAACCTTTGGCAAAGAAGCTCTGAAACTCTCTGTCCTTTACAAAAGCCACCATGAAAAGTAGGAACCCAATTGCGAATAGAAGCAAACCCGAGAACGAATCGGAGGTCCGAAACAAGAGCTGATCATGGGGTGTTGACCCTTGAAGCTTTCTGGCAGTTTCCAAGCCATGGCCGAAAATATAGAGCTCGTTGGAGTAGAACATCATCAGAATTCCACATGTCAGAGCCACCAAAGAATGGAGAACACACACCACGAAAAACCCAGATAAACCCATAAACCAAAAATCTTCTCTCTCTCTCTCCTGCAGAAAAATTGAGAGCTTTTAGTTAAGCTTTTGTTGTTCTGTACTGCCCAATAACTCCATTGAAAACGACCTTAATTTCCTATTTTGTGACTTGAGGGACAAAAAAAGAAGAAAAAAAAAAAACTGAACCCTGATTTTGGTTATAGAATCTCAAGATCAAGAACCCAGAAGAAGAAAATGAAAAACCCAATAGAGCCTTTGGATTCAAGAATCGGGGTTTAAAGGAGAAAACCCATGTGGGACCCAACCCTCAGTTTCTCTCAGTTTAAGTGTCAGAAGAAAAATTTTGGATGAGGCATTTTGGAAAAATGGAAATTGAAGGAATTGAGAAGAGTCTTTTTTGGGGAATTGACATTGATGGGAGTGTTTTCAGCAAAACACATCAATTTCTATTTTCTTTGGAAGGACTTCTCATTTATGTAAATTTGGACTTATATTATTAATAAACTTTAATAAGCTAAAGTTTTAAATGCTACAAAGATTCTTAGCCAAAAAAAGAAAAAAAAAATTGATGTATAGAGATTGCTTCCCATCAACATACTCTCCACACCCACCATGCAGAAAAATGCCATGTTTTTTTTCTGGTTACTTCCTTGCTTGTTCTGCAAAGCAATTGAAAATTTGTGGGTCATACACTAATGGGTCTCCATTTTTTTCCCATCTTATTATCTCTTTTTATTGCAGCCATTATTATTTTTATTGCAAACCATACTCTTTGGGAAACATGTAGGGTTGCTTCTCATAATCACTTATCAGTTTTGGGTCGTCTATAAAGGTAATTAGTGTTGATTCTACTAGACTTGCTATTGGTTCCTTGAGTGACTTTTTTTCTAAGCTTACAAACTTCTATTATTCCAGCAAATAGATAAAATAAATAAAATACAAGATTCTATTAACCGACTCATGGAAACCACTTTTTGCTTTCTTCATTTACGACAAAGAGTAAAAAAAAATGGAAGAGAAGAGACCCTCCTTCTCAAAAAAAAAAAAATCCCGTATGATTTTTGGTTTCTTCAAGCTAAATCCTCTTTTACACGAATAATAAAACTTGAGAGACTAAAAAGTAATATACTTTGTGCATGTAATTTGATAGTAGTAGCGTTAAGTAAATACTTAAAGTCTAAAGAGAAACAATAGTTTAATAACTCCAAATTAAGGGTGGTAATACGGGTTACGACATGCGATACGATATGAACACAAAGTTACTATTGACACAAAATTAACTCGAATTAATTTGATTAATTAAATTTTTATTTAAAGTATATAAAAATAAAGATGTATTTTTTAACAAAATTTTTTAAAATAATTTTAACTTAAATAACATGAAAAATATTAAATTTGTGACTTATGTTAACAATTTAAATTTTAAAATATAGATAAATAGACTAAGTAAATAAATTAAGACTCAAATTGTTTATATTAACTGTAACTATACATATGTGAGTAATGTTTTCACTAAATGGGTGATACGTGAGTCGACTCGAACACAGCCTAAATTGCAACCCACTCTACAAACAAATTGCAGAGAATAAAACAATATTCATTAATATAAAAAAATAGAAATCAGATAATAAAAAGCTGCCGACGTGAAATATGTGAAGATCTCATCATTTGTTTTTGCGAAAGACAAAATGCGAGACAAATGCAAAGACAATCAAACCTCAAGGGAAATCTAAAGAAAGTATAACATTTCTGCACGATTTTCTTCAGATTCAAAGTAGTTTGCTTTCTTTCTTTCCTTTTTTTTTTCTTACGTTTTTGTCAAATTTTCAAACTCTTCTTTATTGAAATTTTAAGAACGTGGGTCCGATATGTAATAAGTTCGATGATAATAAAGCAATAATGGGATACTTTTTTGTATAACAAGCTGTATTGCTTTTACTATCCAAAAAACAAGTTGTATTGCTTTGTTCTGTACGCCAACCCAATGACAACTTATCTTATTATTATTATTATTAAGTTGTGATGAGGTTTTCAAAGAGGGAGCTATGATTGCGAGGCCACAAACAGCCTTGAGTGGAGTTAATCAGAGTTGGAAGGTCAACCGACGGCCGAGATTGGCCAAAATCTTGTGGTTTTTGTTGGCCATTCCCTTGAATATATGGAAGTGCACGACACTTTTTCCCACACAATGGCCCAAAATCATATTACGTAAATGTTAATGCCAATATAATATTTAACATTAAACCAGTGTTGCAAATTCGGGCGGCGGCATGCCCGGTACCTGAAAATTTTTCGGGCAGGGCGGGCAGGTGCCTCTCGCCGCCCGACTATGGTATTTTTGGGCACGGGTTCGGGCAGCCCGAAAATATTCATCCCCCCGACTGCCCGCCGCCGTGGAGAAGTCATCCCCCGCCGTTTGCCGGAATTTCTTTGAATTTTCCAGCATTACCCGAGTTGCCCGAATTTTGCCCTATTTGCCCGAATTTTACCCGAAAATGCCCGAATTTTAAACCAAACGGATCTTTTTGCCCGAACCCAAATTTTGCCTGAAAATTCGAACCCAACGGTCAGATTTTTTACCGTTGCCCGAACTGCCTGAAAATTATACTAGCCGTTGGACCCGAATTTTTAGGAGAAAAATTTTTTTTTTCAACCCAAAAATTTTCCTATAAATATCCCCCCCCCCCCTACCCATTTTTCTCACCCAAAAACTCTCATTCTCTCTCAATTTCTCTTAATCTCCCGTAATTTCTCTCAAATCTCTCTTAATCTCGCTTAAATCTCTCTCAAAGTGCTCTCAATCTCTCTTATTTTTCATAATGGCTTCTTCAGGTTATGGTGGTGTAACACCCTGAAGAATTAATTAAAATTAATTAAGGTAATTGAGATTATTTGTGTGCCTAATATGGATTATTAATTGAGTTTTAATTAATAAATGTTTCTGACGTGTGAGTTTAAATAGTTCCAAGGTATTTAAATTATTCTCAGTAATTTATTTTAAACCAGAAGTGTGTATGGGCGCATTTCTGGACTATTCTTTTAAAATATTGTACACCTGTCATTTTCTTTTCCTTTTCCTTTTTCCTTTTTCCTTTCCTTTCTCTTTCCTTTCCCGTGCGTCACTCTCCCTCACTCTCTCTCTCACTCTCCCGTGCTCTCTCTCACTCTCTCCCTCTCTCATTTTGTCCCAAATCCAAACGGATCTTGAACCAAGGAAAGATTTAAAGAAGTTTTCAACGTCAAGAGAAGGATTCGAGGTAAGATTACTGAAAGAACCTCTCTTGAATCTCAAGTTTTTGAATTTCAAAACCTATTTTTAGTTCAAACCGGATTTTGATGGTTTTTGAGTAAAACTAGAGTAGAAATTGGAGATCTTGGGTTCTTTGGACTTGTTTTAGGACCTAGAACCCAGATCTAGTGGTTTTCCTTTGAAATATCTCGATTTGGGACTGGATTTGCAGGTTTTTGGACTGATTTCTGTGAGCTTCTCTCGCGCAGTTGATTCCACCGGTCGACCTGTGCGGTCGACCGGATCACATGGAAACCGATCGACCGATGCGGTCGACCGGATTGCAGGCTGACCGGTCAACCGGTGTGCACACTACTGGTCGATCGGTAGTGTTGCACTGCTCTGTCACCGGTTGACCGGTTGACACGGGGTTTGACCCTGTTTGGCCTGAAATTGCTGTTTTGACCCCTGTTTTTAGGGAGAACCCAAATTAGCTTCATTTGGGGACTTGAGATAGATGGATTAGCATTGTTAATCCTTGTTTTGAGATTGAAAACCCTTGGAATGATAATTTGAAACATGAAAATGGATTAGGGCACACTAATAGGAAATCTTGGTTGGAAATTGAGATTTGGATTGCTTTAGGAATGAGAATTAATCCTAAAGCGTTGTCTTGCATCAGTGATCGCTGAGGATTCAAACTGAAGGGGCTTGAGGAAGCGGAAGCCGGAAAAGGCAACGCTAGTCCCAGGTTTGATAGTGCGAGGTAGGATTTCTATCCCTTTTCCTTGTGAGCCTGTTTTCAAAAAGGATTTCGGCCTTGAAAATGTTTTGAAGAAAAGGATTGGTTTGCGAAAGAAAAAACGTTTTGAAAACCATGGCTTGTTTAGTCATGGAACCTCATGGCTTGTCCAGTCATGGGGCCCATGGCTTGAGTAGTTCGTGGGGTCGTATTAACGATTTTAAAATGTTAATGAATGATTTCTTAAGCCAAGAGATCTTGTGAACTGGTAATAGAGTCTATTACTGTAAGCCTAGATAGGATACGGAGAGTGCATCCTCGGGGGCAGAACCCGAAAATCGGTCTGGGTAAGCGAGGCACTTGGTTAGGTAAGTAATTTGTACTAATTACTTGTTGAAGCCTGTAAAACAGTTATTTTCAGTTATATATCCTTTGAGAAAAAGGATGTGAGGTTCCGGCTGTTTTGTCGGGACTGAATGTCTTATTTTATTTACTTATTCATTTATGTATTCCCTCGCATATTTATTATAACGTTTATTTCAAATTATATCCTACTGGGCCTTTCGCTCACGTTTTATGTTTTAAATGTACTAAACCCCTCCCAGGAGATTCTAGGAGTGGTGCACAGTAGCTGGATATTTGCTACGGAGTAGCTGAGTTGTGCTGTTGTTGGAATCAAGTAAGGATCGTGGACATCCTCTTGGACAAATGTAAGGAATTTGAGAAATTCTGTAAACTTATATAATATTTGGATTTACTAGATTGTGGTTGATGTCTGTTGTAATGATTATTTACATGAGCATGTATGTACGATACTGTATGTCCTGTGGGGTGGAGCCCTGTGTGTCAGAGGCTTCGGGATTCTGTAATGTAATTTATTTATATTTTAATGCAGTTAAGTGTGGGGCCCGGTTGGGAACCTGCCTTATTAATCCCAAATCGAGCTCCACGTCACCCACCCCGTTTGGGGGGCGTGACAGAGTGGTATCAGAGCCCTAGGTTAAGAAATCCCAAGATTGTACATACATGTGTGACATCTGTAACCCACTGAATAGTCTAGTTTTATTTCAGTTAAAGGAAATGGTGCCTCGCCGTAGGCCTGCTAATCAACCGGCATAACAGAATCAGGGATTTATGGATGCCATGTATGCTGCCTTTCAAGGCATGGCCACAAGAGCTCAAAATGAGCGGCCGGTTGAGGATAGAAAGCAAGGTTATTTTTGGGAATTTAGGCGTGCGCCTATCCCCTCGTTTAATAGTGAGGGAGGACCCTAGGAAGTAGAGTTATGGTTAGACTCCATAGTCAAGCATTTGAGTACTATGGGAGTTCTAGATGAATATTGGGTGGAATTTACGGTTTACAAGATGGAGGGCTTAGCGAATACTTGGTGGAAACATGTCAAGAGAAGAATGGATGTTACAGGACTGACCTGGGAGCAATTTGAGACACTGTTCAATGAGCAGTATTTCCCTCAGAGTTATAGGGAGGAAAAAGCGCTGGAATATATGTCTCTGCTGCAAGGAGACATGTCTATAAGGGAATATGAGGCCAAGTTCAATGACCTATCCCGGTTTGCGCCATCACTAGTGGAGTCTGAACCCATGAGGTGTCTTAAGTTTGAGAAGGGTCTCAAGAATTCAGTGAGGAGGTCATTGGTGGCCTTAAGGATTCGGAACTTCCGGGATTTGGTAGCTGTTACTACGAGGGTGGAACAGGATAACTTGGCCTATCACCAAAGCAAAGAGGCAACTGGTCGAGTCTCTGTCTCTGGTAGACCTTATGTCTCAGGTGGGCCACAGCGGAGCGGTAGGAGAAACCGCAACCAGGGGCAAACGGTTGGGGAGATGGCAAGCGGTGGCAGTAGTTCGTCAGGGAGTGACAAAAATGCTCCGTACGGGCCCAGGTGTCACCATTGTGGGCAGGTGGGTCATATTAGGAGGAATT